AGAATTGGCCGGTTGACCAAACGAGGTCCTATTATCGGTATTAGCAAATAAACAGATAACAACCAGAAATAAACTCCGAGGACCACTAAATTAAATTTGGGTAATATATATTCATTCAAGATGCCAATATTAATTGGAAGAATGATATATATTCTATTTGGCTCGATAAAATAAAATTTAATTAAAATACAACTTTCGGAGCCGAATGTACACTTCGAGACATATTGGGATGACCTCCCACATGAGTGGGAGCCACCCCACGACTCTTGGTCTGAAAATAAGTGTTGAGAGTATGGACATGAGGTGTATGATGGATGAAGGGATGGGTTAGATAAGTTTGAAAGTTAGAGGGACCCTCTCCCATTACTAATTGGCCTTTTGAGACAAAAAATTGTCTCTTCACCCTCTCTCCTCTCATTAGTCCGTCCAAGCCATCCCAAGGAAGAAGGAATCTCTGCAAAACTTCATTCTCCATAGCCATAACCAAGGTCAAGCAAAAGGAAGGCTCGAGGAAGAAGAAAGAGTGAGAAAGGAAGAGAAAAACCTTGATTAATTAAGGTAATGATCTTGTTAACATTTTTTCATCCTTCATTTAATCTCATATGATTTATAAATCATATGATAGACCCATAAAATTGTTCTACATCCCTGGAGGTGTAGAATGAGGGGTCGGAAGGATAGTTTTAACCATGATCGAAGTTATGACCGGAGTAAGACCGGTTCGCCGGAAAATACCTTCTCGGAAGGTTTTGATGTTTATGCCACTTTTGGTTGTGAAAACTTGTTAGGAATTTTACCAAGGTATTCTAGACTTCTCAAGGAATCTAGGTGTGGCTGGAAAAGTCGCCGGAGTCGCCGGAGTTTCCGCCGGAAAATTCCAAAAGTCGCCGGAGTTCAAACGAAGAGGATAAAGGCCTGCTAGCGTCATTTCGAGGTGAGTGGACGACTACGTGTCTTGTAACTCTTGGGTCAAACGTGAGATTACCTAAATAAAATCATAATCATGATTTGAGAAATGATTAAATGGATTAAAATGCATGATTAGTCATGGTAAATATGAATAATATAATAGAAATATTACATGGTTAATGAATAAGAGATTTATTTGTGGATTAATCATGAATATATTATTGTCAAATGTATAAAAATGAATACATGGACTATGTATGAGACATCTAGAGTAATCTAGTATGTGAATATGTATAGAAATGTTTAAAAGTGTTTAAACATATGATTAACCATATTGATTATAAATTAAGTGAAAGTGGCATGATTAGTTAATGAGTAAAAAATTATTAATATTCTTGATGAAGAATAATCATGACTGATTATTTGAGAAACGACTAAGGAAATTCAAGATGGTATTCTTGTGAAGGATTTAAGTATTAAATCATACAAGTCACTAAAGTAAAACTAGTTTATGAGGAATAAACTAGGGAAATTTACAAGCTATAATTAATTAATATAAATGTGTTGTTGGCTCATTTGAGAAATGACCAAATTAATTCAAGTAATATTCTTATGAAGAATTAAGAAACTCTTAAGTACACGTGCTGCTAAGATAATCTAGTTTATGAGAAATAAACTAGAGTAATATACAAGAATGATTAACTAGTATAAATGACACGATTAACAATTTTTGTGAATAAAATATTCCAATTGGATGATGACCATGAAAGGCTCATTTTATGAAGTGAATAAATGGAATTGAAGATGGTATTCTTGAGAAGAATTAAAAGTGCATAATTACGCAAGTTATGAAAGTAATCTAGTTTATGAGAAATAAACTAGAGCGAAATACATGAAAATGATTTGGAATATTATAAAAAATATAAGAAATGTTTTGAGTGACCAAAATGGCATATAATGATTGTTTATGACTTAATGCATGTTGTATTTAAGTTTCGGAGAAATCAGAATCGTTTCGGGCGGTTAATGGGGCGTTGACCCGATCCAACACATTGAATCGACGCCGGTTAGGGGATGAACCGGCGCCGGTTAGGGGATGAACCGGCGCCGGTTTGAGCACGACGTGCCGGTTTTAATTTAAATCAGTGAACCGGCACCGGTCAGGCAGCGAACTGGCGCCGGTCCGGTCTCGACTTTCGGGACCGGGTTTCGCTAAAAACCCAAATCGGACTCGGTTCGACTCGGGATTAATCCCGACCATCCTATATATGGATATTTTGCATGGAATTGCATGAAATATGATGTTTAAAATGCTAAGACTTGAAATACGGTTTAAACGCTAAGACTTGGACTAGTCGTTAGTAAAGAAATTATAGGCTACGACCGGGCGAGGTAAGTGGTAGATTATACATGGCGGGTGAATACCCGGGACCGAGTAAGGTCAGGTAATACTCTGTAGGACCAGGAGGAGTCCTTTATACTCAAATGTTAACAAAGGCCCGTGTAGTCCTTGAGGTGTGTTAACCTCCAGTTGAGAAACGCTAGTTATATTACATACAGTTTGCCCTCACCAGTACTTTGTTGTAGTACTGATCCCTCGGGGGGAACCACCCTTTCAGGTTGAAGCTAGAGTTTACTACCTACACCCGTTGTTCGGGAGATCGATGGAGAGAAGACGTGGTTCGTGCTTCCTGTGGTTCTATTTCTAAATAATTAAATAATGCTCATGGAACTATTTTTGACTTATAAATTAATGGAGCCTGCGAGCTCTTGTTTTACCCTCGTGTGGGTTCTTATTAAACACTTATATTCCGCTATGTGTTTAATTCTATGTTGATGTTGTTATGTATGTTTACTAATCGGTTTTGGCATATGTATCTATCGGACGTCTTATGCAATTTAGCAAGGATGAACTGCGGTTATTCTTATTGGGTTGTACGACGGTTGTCTACGTGGCACAGACACGGTCTGGAGGCCTGGAGCGTGACGATTAAGTTGTATCGGAGCCATACGGTTACTAAACTATATAGTCAACCTCTCAACAAAGTTTCTATCAATACAATCTTTCAATGAAAATCCATGAGCATAAATTTTGTACTTTAAGAGCATTTGGTTATCGAGTTGCAAGGTCTCTGGTTGTTAAGATGGGCCCCTTAACAATTGGTATGGTAGTGACTTGAGCCAAGTTGCGTCTTAAGTACGTTTCCGTCAATTGACATTCAAACGAGTCCAAAGACTCATTTCAATATATTCTTTCAGGGATTGGTGGTAACGATAGGACGGTTCGGGTATGGAGTAAAATAGAAAACCAAAAAGTTTGTTAAAAGATTGACGGGTATATAAACACGAAAAATATGTTGTTCTTACCTACCCCCTATACAGAGTCAGGCCGGTTCCTGGCCGGGCCCGGGCGGACCCGCACAGTAGCGGGTCGGGTCGGTTCCGGGCCGGGCCAAACCAGTTGGGTCCATCCCTGTTTGTTTGTGATAATTTTCATACATAAAGACGTGTCTAAACGAGATTCATTGGTTCTACACTTTCATTTTTTGATGTATTTAAAAGTTTGTTATATTTTTCAGTTTTAGTAAGTTTTTTCATTAAAAATGTTGAGTACCATTACTTTTCTACTTCTTATCATCTCTTTCATAATTTTTCACAACATTTCCTACTTTGGTCACACTATTCACTACACCTATTATTTCATCCTTAAAAAATGTGTCCAAACCTATGTAGTGAACTTTTAAATACGAAAGGAGTACTACATACGATTGTGCGTTTATAGGATGTTTGGAATTGATTATACTTATATTTGTTTAAACGTAGAAGCAAAATATCTGCACTGTCAACCAAAGACTCCAACAATTCTTCTGCTCTTTAAAAGAGCAGAAGGAGTTTGAAGAAGTAAATTCAAACACCCTTGATACGGAGTATGTTATTAGAGTTAGGGGTGTTTAGATTTCTTAAAACTGTTTCTACTTCTTGAGGAAGCATAATTAGATACTGGAGTGTTTTAGTATGTGAAAGTGCAGAAGTACTTCTAAGTGTTCCAAATTACTCATAAAAGCAGTTTCTAAAAATTGATTCTGATTCTACTTCTCTTTCTGTTTTTGAAAAAGAAGGAGAAGAAGAATTACATCCAAACACCCCTTCAATAAAATCAATCTCCTATCTAAAAAACTTACTCCCTTCGTCCTAGAATTATCTTCATACTTTCCTATTCGGTCCGTCCCAAATTTATCTCCTTTCCCCCTTTTTGGTAAAGAATATGTGGTTCACAACCATTCTTACACATTTCTCTTTCCTGTGCATAACTCTCCACCACAGAAATCCCACTATCTTAAAATTCGTGCCCGGTCAAAAGCGGAGTTAAATATGAGACAGACGGAGTATTATTTTAAAGCTCCTAAAGGTTCAACACTAGAAGTAGGAGTGGACTCGGGCCGGGCCAACCGGCCCGGACCGGCCCGCTATTGTGCGGGCCCGAACCGGCCCGGTGACCCTGTTGGTGTCCGGTTCGGGCCACCCGGCCCGGTGAGGTAGGCGGGTCGGGTTCGGACCTCCTAAATCGTGAACCGACCCGGCCGGTTCAGGGCCGGTTCGGGCCAAATTATTATTTATTTTTTTTGAATTTTTTTAAGTGTTTGGGTTGCGCTAGGTATGATGGGCCATTTGAGGTGGTTTGGGGTGGTTTGGGGGTGAGAGGGGAGGGTTGGGGGTTAATTAGGAAAAGCCAAAAAAAAATAAGAACCAAGGCCCGGGCCGGTTCCGGGCCTCCCCTTTCATGAACCGAGCCCCGGCTGGGCCCAAGCCCGAACCGGAACCGGTCCACCCCTAACTAGAAAGCGCAAAAAGGTGAAAATAATTGCTTCTTTTGTAAAAATATGAACATGTGAAGAAAGATTGTACTCCGTATCAAGTACCACGTTCTAAAGGTGAACGAATCCTATGTTCGTTTCTTTGGGTTGTTCCCTAACCTATCGGGATAGAGTTTATATTTTAGACCTTGACCGATACTAGTTCATTACCCTCTCAGTTTCTGAAATTATATCACTTGGAAGTAGTAAACAATTCATGACATATGTATGAATAACTTGTATAAATGTTTTGAATAAAATTTCTCTCTCAACCCTAGATTGAAACTGAATTAATTATTCCAATTTGGAATATGTCTTAGCACACTTTAGATGAACCATTCCCACTTATCGTGTCAACTTCATATTTTTTTTTGATGAAATGTAAATATTTATAAAGCATCCAAAAACAACATTTTACAATGTATCACACTAATTCGAAAAATACTATCTATGTTAGATAAATCTAATCTAAATAAAAAGCATCATCAAAATAATGGGGCATCCCCCATATCCACCTAATCAGATAAATCAAATACAAACAACCATCAAACATACAAATTAGCCTAAACCTATTTGAGCAAGCTCAGCTTCCCTCCCTTTCTTCATCTCCGTATATTGTGTGATTTTTTCCCAATAATCCTCAAGAATTTTCTATTCCTCCTCATCTGAGAACGTCGCCTCTTCATCGGATCCCCCCTCTTTTGCGTCCTCTCCCCCCTCCGGTTCCGGCACGGCATCCGGTTCATTTGGTGTAGTTGTCTCGGGCACGAGCTTCACTCTAGCTAGTCTAGACCCTCACCCCGTCTTTAATACTCCTCTCATTGGCCTCCTTCAATATTTTTTCTTTTTCTTTGTCCTTTAGTGTAATTTTAATAGCCTCATTCACCGTTTTCTTTTCCTTTTCAACAATAGTCTCATCCCGTTGTTTTGCTACCAATTTCTAGCAAATAAATGGGTGGTGCCCATACATTTTACAACGGAAACAAAAGTTGGGGAAAGTTTCATAAACCACCATTTGTTTGACTACTTTACGGGAAGGTAATCGTATAGGAAAAGATAACAGAGGTGGTTTAGAAACATCAACCTCAATTAGAACTCTAGCAAAGTGACGATTGCTCCTATTTTCAGTGATTTTGACCTTAGAAAGCGGGACCCCTACCATAGATGCAACTTCACTCATAGCCTCCTCATTCCAAAGTTTCATATGTAGTTGAGGAAATTTTACCCAAATGGGGACTTTGAGAATTTCATCATCATCAAAGGAAAAATCTTCCGAAAGTTTTTCTAGCATGAGTTGTATACCAAAGATGGTATAAGGACCTCCATTCAATACTATTCAAAGGGAAATTACCCTAAATAGGAGTAAATGAGGTTTGGAATTCCAAAAAAGGACTACTATATTTTTCTTCCCAAAATAGGAGTTTTTACTGCCATGTGTAAAAATACTGACATAATTAAAAAATATTGTCATTAGTTATAATAAATATTGTCATGTTAAATGCACTGTACTGCAACTATTTGACAATCACGCCTACAAGATGACAGTAAATACTGTCATGTTAGTCATATTTCAGGAATAAAAACATAGTAGTCCTATATTTTGGAATTTCAAACTCCATTTACTCCTATTTTGGGAAATCTCCCAATTTAAAAATAATTCATCCCTTGCTATGTGTATCAACAATGCAACTAACTCCCCACGTGTTCTTCAAGTCATAGACCACTTTAAGGCCCGTAAATTTCTCGTTAAAAAAACCCACAAGACAAAATCCCCACATGTCAACCATAGAAGGCAAACTTTATCCGTAAAATCTAAAGATGTTCATTTCGGCGGGATATACCTCAATTTCAAGCCATTTGAAGGGTCACGGTTGTCTTTGAACAATGAAGACCAAGGTTTAGCAGCCCCATCATCCCTATTTTTTATTTATTCCTTGTCCAAAACACTGGCAGTAACATTCTCTTGGTTGCTAACAGTTTTAGCTCTAGGAGACACAATCCCAGTAGCATCCAGTTTTGTCCCAGTAGTAATGTGCTCAACAACCTTAGTAATCACCCTTTCAGCATCAGTCCTACAGCCTTCGTTCATTGTAGCAGTTACTGCCTTCCCTGCAGCAATTTCAACATTCTGTTTACCCAATTTTTTGTTAACCGGAGTCACCAGCCTCAGGTGGCCATTGTATTGATAGATTGCCAGCGTTTAATAAAGGGAATTCCTGAGGAACGAGTTGTTCTTGCAGTAGACACCTCCCCTGAGCTCTGCTTTTTTCTCGCCATATCAGGTATAGAAGACAACAACCTGTAGACGAAAATGAACAGTAAATTCCCGGCTACACTGGCCCCCACCCTTCAGCGAACTTCCAAAGCTACGTCTGGAGACGGCGAGCCCCAAACCAGCTAGGAATTTCAGGAACAGTAACAAAATTCAAAGATTCGTAGCAGAACTAAAATCTAAGAGAACAGTAAAATCAGCAATGTCTCATCCCATTTTTTGCCTTCTTGGCCGTAAATCATCCTTCGAAACATAAATCCAAGGTCAACTCCATATATGATTTTAGTGGGGGTCGAACACTTCTCTAAGATTTCTCAAAGTCTATTATCCCCGTGCAATGCACGAGATAACAAATTAATTAAGAGTTTTATCAATCCAATACATACGTAGTGTGTTACCTGAAATTACTCTTTTCAAATTACACAATAGTTATTAGGTTTACCAATAATTCCTATAAGTATATTCTTATCAAAGGACTAACACAATAAATTAGTGTTTTAATATACATCAAATTCAGCACATCCACTTTTTTGTACTCCGAGGGCAGTTAGCATTATTGAAAAATTACCTCACATAAAACAATTTTCTTCAAAATTCTGAATGCACCGTTTGTAGACACTATGAATTTGATATTAGGCATTAAGGAAGCTAGATGGAGGTAAAGGCCTAACCCACAACGGACTTCAAAACACTAACATTCACAATTCATATTTAATCAATTTTAAAGTTCACAATTGTGACCTTCAATTCAAACCCTTAAAAATGCAAAGATTTATGTTTATTCTAGAAGCATGAAATTAGCTTGAATAGATCAGGTACAATGGAAATGAATAGATTCTTAAACTCATCACTCTTCCTCTTCTTTTTTTCCAAACTCAAAGCAATGATTTTCATAGAAATAAAGTGGACCTTGTCATGATTTTATAAGCTAAAGAAAAGGATTTACAAAAAAAGTTTTTTTCACTTCTTGTCATCATAACCCTAGAAGATAAAAACTAAAGAAAAATATATTAATGAAAGTTTAAGAGTTGGAATTCAGAAAAGTTAAAATTCACAATATAAGCGTGTACGAAGAACATATATATACCTCCACGGTGGAATTAGCGATTGGAGCGTCCATAAAATGAATTGAAGCGTCCTTATACCTACCGGCTTGACAAATTAAGAAATAATACACTTTCAATCAATGTATAAAGACAAAGAAATCAATCAAAACAACAATAATTTTTCTTAACTTTGAATATTTTTCGCACACCATACTATTCTATCACATTCCCTTTGATTCGTTTTCCTCAAGTTGATAGGGAATACCATATCCAAATGCATGCTATTAAGAAACTAACCCAAAAGTTAAGAGATTATTACACGAAATGTTTTCAGATTAATAGTTTTCTTCACCTAAACATTTTATCAAACAGGTTATATGCAAAGTATTAAAAGCACCTATACCACAGAATCCAGGTCTAGTTACATACAGTCATGTAGATTTTTTTTATCAAGAAGAACAAATAACACATGAATCAACAAAAATAAAACTCGTCATCTCTAACCACAAACACCATATTGTTTCAGTTTTGAAGTAATTATTTTTACTATATTCAAATTCAGATGAAGCAGAACTTATGAAGAATTAGGGAGGGTTGTTGTGGTTGGGGCTGGATGCTTTTTATTCAAAATCACGACCACAGCCATAATGAATCCAGCTCCGCCCATAGCCCATCAATGCGCTGGCCGTTCTCTGCCCATAATGAAAAGTGTCTAATATGCCCTCTTAATACATATAGAAAATCAAATGAACACTCTTATTTAACTTTAATCAATTACTTTCTCAAAGTATGTAAATCTCATCATCAATTACACGCTAGTCAGCAGATTACTTGATGACGCGGCACACACTTTTTTCAAATGACGCCCTACACATTCTTTTTCTTTTTTCATCTTTCTTTTTCTTTCTTTCTTTCTTTCTTTCTTTCTTTCTTTCGCGGAGCAAACTCATTTCTCTTTCTCTTGTTAAGATGTGTTAATAATGTATTGTGTTTAGGGTTTCAAAACTTGCATTTATTCCATAATAAGGAGAGTATTTACATACAACAAGTTTGGGCTTATTAGGGCTTTACAAGAAGTTTAATTTGGACCTCATAAGCAAAATAAATGATGATAAATAATTACATTAAATACAAAATATACTATCTGTTGAGGGTAAGTCCCGTAGATCCGAAAGTCCAACACGAACTTTGGATATATCAGGAATGGCCCAGAATCAAAGTGTGTGAGAAATTATAAAATCTGAATTAACTAGAACTCGAAAAACCCACTTGTATTAATTAACCAATCTGATTACAAAAGATTTCCCGATCAGTAAGTCGGAAACTATGCTTTAATACAAGAAATAAGAGCAAATGATGCTATTCTAGAGCTTGAGTATCGAAAATCTAACCCTTACAATGACTTGAAACCTTCTATTTATACTAATGGAGAGCATGGGCTGCCTCTTGCTGATTGGCCGTTGTTCCACCGACTTGGTCATTCATGCTTCCACTTGCTGATGTCATAGTCTGGCATTAACTGCACCTGGCCACTTGCTGGTTGGCCGTTGTTCGAACGGGATGTTGGTCCGTACTGAAGATGCTGTCAAATTGGCCCAAGTATGATATATAGCCCGAACCTCGTTCGGTATGTTTTCTTATTGGGCCAACCTTTATTTGGGCCGAACCCTGTTCGGTATGTCTCCTTACTGGACCTTTTCATCATGGAGTGATGGGCCTGTTACTTGGGCCGGATGCCTTGGGCCTTCCCGATCTGGGTATTGGGCCTCTAGGTCAATATCCCAACACAAGTCCCCCACTTCCGATGTCTCGAACGAAGTGAGTGCATCAGGAAGTATACCAATGTCATAATACCCCGAATGGCGATCGGGGTACAGAAGTAATCAGTTCCCCATGCTGCGATTTGACGGCTGCCGCTTCATTTCCCCATATTCACCATGATAATCGTCGTTTAGTCTTTTCATTAGACGCGTGTCTAGCTTAAATGCCCCTAGTGATGTGTCGCTCTCTGATTGGTTCTCGACACGGCGGTTTCAAGGCTATAAATTAGCCATTAATTCCTCAATTCCGGGTTTCGACTCTGCAATTCCTTGGCCTTCGTTGTTTTCTCTGCAAATTTCCCCCTGCTTCCCTTGCTCAGGTAACTTCCCAACCTTGGATTCCCCATCTTCATTTCTGGCTTCGATCGAGATGAGCCCCACAGAGCATTCTTCTGATTCGGAGATGGCCTCTCATGGGGATGACCGTGACACCGCCATGGTAGATGCCATCCCAGTTCCGTTTGCCGGTGTTTCTACCGAGACGGCGACGAATACCAGGGCTGAGGCGGAGGACCTCCCTAGCACTTCTTCTTCCTCCAGTGAGGATTCTGACGACACCAAGTCTGAGGACGAATTGGCCTCCATGGCGGCCGGACGTCCCAACGATGTTCCTCGCCATACTCTTGACCTAAAATTGATTAGGGAGAGGAGGTAAAAATTGACCTCTCACAATAGGGCCGAAATTCCGGCCCTTATCCCTGACCCGGTGGATTTCCGTTTGCAAGCCGGGCTTCATCCAATGCGTCATAGGCCCGGAATGACCATAGTCCACTTTGACTCAATTAGGGCCGGCCTTAGATTTCCGCTACACCCTTTCTTTATTTCTTTCTTCAATTTCTACGAAATTGTACCGGCCCAGATTATGCCGAACTCTTATCGAGCAATGGCGGGTTTCATTTGTCGTTGCAAAGATGCCGGCGCCCGACCAACCTTAGAACTCTTCCACCGGTTCTTCAAAGTAGCCCCCCAACAAACCCATGGCTATCTGGCCACTAGTGCCCGAACGGGACACATCCTGTTCAAAGGAAACCCAACTTCGATCAAAGGGTGGAAAGACCGGTTTTTCTTCGTGTCCATCCCGGACGGTCTGATTCCCCGCAAGTGGAATGCTTTTCCCCGCAAGACCCCTGATCCTGTCCTGACTGAAGAAATCTACAAGGACGTGCTCGCTGTGGAGAAGGATAAATGCATGGACATCATGAATTATCTAACCCCCGAACGACTTATAACAGCCGGGATAGGTACTGCCTGTTCTCTTGGGTTTACTTGTTTTGATAAACCAAGTGCCTTGGTCCGGGCGGTCCTTCCCGTGTGAGAAACGTTCCTTTATTCTTTTTTTCTAGTTTCTCACACGCTAGGGCCGCTCGATACTAACATTGTTCTTTGCCTTTTTTCAGCACCCAACCCAGATCTTCCCATGGATGATAGCAGAGTCATCGCAGCCGGTGGGGGCGGAAAGCGGAAAAAATCCCGGAAGAACCCCCAACCTACTCCCACCATTGTTCCCGCTCAGGAGGCTGCCCCTTCTCAACCGCTCCCAGAACCTCAGCCAATTCAGCAGGTCCACCAGGATCAACTAGAGGCCATGCTGCTTGATGATCGGTTCGGTTCTGACCAACTGCACCAATTTTCCCAGCATTTCGACTCCGTTCGGGGGGAATCCTCGAATGCTGGTGAGACACATACCGACCACATTACGGGTCAGGTCGAGCGGATCTCCCTATCCGACCCTATTCATGAGGTTTTAGAGAGGGCTGGATCTACTGCGAGCCAGATCTGTTCTACCTCCTCCTGGTTTAACAACTTTTCCCTCCCTCAGTTGCCGGTCGAGCAATCTGAGGAATGTTTGGCTCTGACTGCTCTGAAGGTACGTTGTCTCTTGCGCTTTGTCTTAATTTTATTCTCTGTCATCAGTACTAATTCTCGAACGGTATTCTGTAGATGGGCTTGTACACCCTTCAGATGCGGGAGGCCCGCCTGGCCAAAGAGCGGGAACTGATTGTTGCCCAGTCTTCTGCTGAGCAACATGTTGCTGCTGCCGTCGCCTCTCTGGAGGCCGAACGGAAAACCTTTGCTGAGGAAAAGCAGAGGCTGGATGCTGAAGTCGGTACCCTTCGGGTCCAACTCGCAGCTTCCCAGGCGAAGATCCTTGCCGCTGAGGCAGCTCGGGTCAGATTCGAAGAACTGCCATCCAGTATCCCGGACGGTCCCTACGAAGTGAACGTGGATCTGTCCACCGTCCGGGACATGTTTAAATCCTCCGATGAATTCTCCCTCATCAAGGATAAACATGCCAGGGCCCAAATCCCGTTCGCCTTTGGGGCGTATTTGAAGGATTTCCTCAAAGGTGCCGGTCGGCTATCGGCTGGGGTGGCCCTCTTGGATAAGGACCCGGAGGCCAAGAAATGGAACGACTCCATTGTCTCCGATCTTTATGGCAAAATTGGCTAGGTTTTGCTGCGTCCCTTCATCACTCAGCTCCAAAATCAACTGGGGAGACCGGTTCAGGCCTCTGATCTCCCCACAGATGACATCATCCAGGCGCAGTTCGAGAAATACCTGCGAGCCCAGCAACGGGAAGCTGATCGAGCTGCGGGAAAAGAGCCTGAACCCCCATCTGATGATGATGAGGATGAAGAGGGAGATGACATGGCCCCCAGTCAATAATTCATAT